TAACCAGTCACACTTAGAAGCAACCAAGATGTTTTTAGAAGTGAATGGATAAACTGGCACATCACAACAATGGAATATTACACAGCAATAAACACAGTAAGTTTTTAAGCCATGAAAATGCATGAAGGAATCCATGACCCAAATCAACTATATAGCAAACCTTACAATAATGTGTTAATGTAGGTTGATCATTTCTGACAAATATGTCATCATGATGGGGGATGTTGGAAATGAGGGATGGGTATTCATGTGTGGAAACAGGAAGTCCATGGACAATCTATACTTTACTCACTTTACTGTGATTGTAAAATTTCTCTAAATAAAGAAAGGCTATTAAAGAAAAAAATGTCTGATCCCTATTTTTATTTCTCCAAGAAGTCCCTGTGTTTTCACATATATTTATTTCAAAGTTAAATATAATAACATTAAAAGGTGAAAATCATATGAGAGATAAGCTACACAGAAAGCTTTCACCGAACAGGAGTTGAGAAAAAACACAAAATAAATATTATGTTGTGGGGGCTGACATTGTGGCATAGCAGGTAAAGCCACCATTTATGATGCAGACATCCCATACAGAAGCCAATTCTTGGGCAATTTTTTGTGTCCTAGCTTCTCCACTTCTGATCCAGCTCCCTGCTCAATTATTATGTGACAAGAAAAGGAAATAACACATAGACTGTGAATGTATCTGCTGCAAAGTTCATGACACTTAAGGCCATTTGATTAGAGCTTTTGGGATCAGCTGCTTTCAACTTTTAGGTGGACCCAATTAGTCTATGTGAGTTGTTGACAAATTAACCCTGAATATCAAGAGCTTAATAAGAAATCTGGTTGCTTAAAATCTGAAATTTCTCAAGTGTTGGTTCTTATGTATTGACGCTCAGGACACTTGGTTTTGGCTGCCCCTCTCTCATGGAATCTCCATGGCAGGGACTAAAAGGGAAAAGTGAGAAAGATGGGACTTATTGGATTTAACAGCTTTAAGTGAAAGCGAGGGATACCATTATCAGTCCCTGGCCACTGGTCAAATCTAGTCACATGGCTCACATCAGTGCAAAGAAAACATTGTGAAAACTCCTGGGTTCTCACCGCAGACCAGAAAAGTTGGGTTTTTGGAGAGAGACATTTGAGGTAAAAGATTGAAACATTTAATAACATCTGTTTTATCCTAGAGGGCTTCTAGTCTTAATCATTTTTACAGTGTGTACAATTCTAGTTACTCCCAGTATCCCTAGAGGCGGAACATGTTCTGTCTATATTTATACTAGTTGTTTCCTTTTAGTAATTTTTTTTGTTCTAGTTAATACTATTGGTTGAACTCTGTAATCAACACACATTTATTCTTTTTTTTTTTTTGACAGGCAGAGTGGACAGTGAGAGAGAGAGAGAGAAAGGTCTTCCTTTGCTGTTGGTTCACCCTCCAATGGCTGCCGCGGCCGGCGCGCTGTGGCCGACCCACTGTGCCCATCTGAAGGCAGGAGCCAGGTGCTTATCCTGGTCTCCCATGGGGTGCAGGGCCCAAGCACTTGGGCCATCCTCCACTGCACTCCCTGGCCACAGCAGAGAGCTGGCCTGAGAGAGGGGCAACCGGGACAGAATCCGGTGCACCGACCGGGACTAGAACCCGGTGTGCCGGCACTGCAAGGCGGAGGATTAGCCTAGTGAGCCGCGGGGCTGGCCAACACACATTTATTCTTAGATGTTGAAATTTAACTGAAAAGTGATCCCTGTTAAATATAAGAGTGGGAATAAGAGAGGGAGGAGATGTACAATTTGGGACATGCTCAATCAGACTTGCCCCAAATGGTGGAGTTAGAAATGTGCCAGGGGATTCCAATGCAATCCCATCAAGATTGCATGTACCAATGCCATCTCACTAGTCCAAGTGATCAATTTCAGTTCACAATTGGTCACACTGATAGGTCTAAGAATCAAAGGGATCACACAAATAAGACTAGTGTCTGCTAATACTAACTGATAGAATCAAAAAGGGAGAGAACGATCCAACATGGGAAGTGGGATACACAGCAGACCCATAGAATGGCAGATGTCCCACACAGCACTCTGGCCTCAGATTCAGCCCCGAAGGCATTAGGATCTGGCTGAAGAGCCCATGAGAGTATTTTAGGCAAGGAAAGCCAAGACACTCTGGAAAAAAAAAAAAAAAAAGAGAGAGAGAGAGAGAGAGAGAGAGAGAACCTAAATGAAAGGTCTCTGCAAGTGAGATCCCAGTAGAAAGAATGGGCCATCAAAGAAGGAGGTACCTTTCTCTGAAGGGAGGAGAGAACTTCCACTTTGACTATGACCTTGTCTAAATAAGATCGAAGTCAGCGAACTCAAGAGGCTTCCATAGCCTTGGAAACTCTTGACTAGAGCCTAGGGAGATTACTGATGCCATAAACAAGAGTGTCAAATTGTTAAGTCAACAACAGGAGTCACTGTGTACTTACTCCTCATGTGGGATCTCTGTCCTTAATGTGTTGTCCAATGTGAATTAATGCTATAAGTAGTACTGAAACAGTATTTTACACTTTATGTTCTATGTGGGTGCAAACTTATGAAATCTTTACTTAATATATACTAAATTGGTCTTCTATATATAAAGATAATTGAAAATGAATCTTGATGTGAATGGAATGGAAGAGGGAGTGGAAGATGGGAGGGGTGCGGGTGCGAGGGAAGTTATGGGGTGGAAAAGCCATTGTAATCCGTAAACTGTACTTTGGAAAATCATATTTACTAAATAAAAGTTAAAAAAGAACATTGCAATAATTTCTAAAGAATTTGCACTTCTAAAAAGACAACTATTAATATAGTGTATTCAAAATGTAGTGTTATTCTCATTATTAAGTAGCTTTTTATTATTTAGATGAGGCATTATTAACTCACTTGAGGATTGATTTTGGCAGTTGTATGTCGTGTATGACCATCAATATCTCAAATCTCCAAATGTGTTCTTTGATTTTTAAAATTTTTACTAGATAATATCAGCACATAATAATTCTACAAAATGATAACTATGTGTTGGAGAACTAAATAAATATGATGCCATATCTTCAGTGTAGTTGCACAAAAAGATTAATAATGCCATATTTTCTATGTTTGTTAATATATATTTTAAATTTGAAGATACCTGTTAGTACTTCATCATTTTAGCATATTCCTTTCCCTCTAGGGAGAAAATAAATAAAGTTATATTTTTTCTGATATCAGCATCAAAGCAAATCATTTCTTCATTCTGTTAGTGTCTCTTGCTGTCAATGTATTGTATTTAATTATCAAGTATAAGTATTGCATTTTATTTTATTAAATTATTTCATTAAATTGTTTAATGTTGTTGATTAGGTCAAGATATTTCTTAGATAGTAAACTCTCTGACAAGAATCACTGTGTGTGCACTGTCTTATCTGACAGAGAAAATATGTGAAATATCACTTACTCCAATGAACAGAGCTCATAAAGATGCACTACACTTGACACAAGGAGTGGAGAATTAATAATTTGACATGGTTTATTGTATAATTACTCTAATTCCTTAAGTCTATGAGAAAAATTTATAACAAGAATTAATTCACTTTATGTATTTGGTAAGCAAAAACCATCAGCTTAAATTACTTTAAATTTCCTTTGTAGCTGGTAAGAAACACAATGAACTTAATAGAATTTTCTCAAGTCATTATTTACAGAGATAAGAACATTCTAATCAAAGAAGATATTGAAAAGGGGACAGTATTTTTCTGGACCTAATGCTAAGTGCCTATGTTTATCTCATAAAAATGAAGGAATTTTGAAGAATTCCATTTGCATTAGAACTCATTGAACATGAGTCTTCATTTCAAATTCCCATAAAGAAAAATATATTCAAGCATCAGAAGCTTTATCATCAAGGTAAATTTTTAAATATAAGGTAAGCAATATCTTATTTTACCTGTTACCTGTGTCTCCTCCTTGATTATTTTTATTTATATAGTGTTAATTATTCTCCATAAACTTATATACAGATCATTAAAACATAACTAAACACATTCCATATTGATTGAAAAATCAAGTTGCAATGTATCAGTTGTACTCATAATTAATTAGTTAATCTAAAATGTTAAATATATGATTGTCCAAGGTTATTCACGAAGATCAACTTATTGTATAACTTTCTTATCAGTGAATAAATATTTTGTTAATTAAGTAATGCATTTATTAAGTGTGTAGACATGTATAAATATAATACTGTGCTCAATTTCTATATGTAGTTCTAGAACATTACAACTGAACTGTAAGTAGAGTTTTGATTATATAACATATATGTTTTGTACAGGATATTCCAAATATTGCTTGAAACATATTTCCACTTAACAATCATATAGTACATATGAATAATATCCTAATTTAGTAGGCATCCTTGTACCAAAAACAAAAGTATTGAAAATTCTAATTTAACTGAGTATCTTCAACTGTTACCAAGTCTGACAATTCTAACTGAAGAAACAAATATAGATATGCATGTATATTTGAAAAGATGCAGTTTAATCAGAATGTTTAATCTTTCTATTGAATTTTTAAATTATATTGGGCCAGTAACTGTAGTAGTGAAAGCTGAGATTCTTAAAGCCTTCAGTAATAGGAAAGAAAAAACTGCAAAATCAAAGTTTGAATCAATTTTCTCTCCCAGGAGTTAAAACTTGACTTCGTATCTGATACAGTTTTATTTTACTCCCTTTTGGTCTGTGTAAGACACAATCCCTAGCCGAAATATTAACAATATGCTCCTTGTCCTTGAGGAAATTGTAATTATTACCATTAACCTGAGTCTTGATATCCCATACAAGTTAACTCTTCTAGTCCCATAAATTGGTGTATTTATTGATAACCAAGGGAAATTGCTATTAGTTTATCATAATCATTAATACAAAAGAAACATGGAGGGACAAAATGAGAGGACATTTACTATAATGTATAATTTGGAATTCCTGGCTTCATACCTCTGTGTAGATGGAACTTACCTGAAAATTCACTTCTGGTTTCATGTTCCAATATCTTACCAGTGGTTGATTTGGTAGAAGAGATGGAGAAGAGTTAAATGTGCTGCCTCTTCTGTCTTTCAAGATCTGTTAGTTGCAGAGAGAATATGATTTGATCTGCTCTAAGTCATGCATTACATTAGTGACAAAGGCTGTACCCTTTGGATAATACTTATGTGGCTTTTAGTTTGAAAAAAAAAAAAACAGTCATATTCTTCAATTTGTCACCTGAAACAGCTATATTTTTTTCCTATTCTCTGACTCCTATGTCTGTGACATAGGAAAAGGATGTTATGTAGGACCTTTTGTGAGTGACACAAAAGCTCAAAGGTCTTTGCTCTTTCTGTGTCAGATGTCTTTTGCCTTAGGCCTTGCCTCCTTGGGTCTTTACTTAAATGTGATTTTTCAGTATAGCTTTCCTTAGCCACTCTACTAAAACTCAAAGTGCCAACCCATATTAGGCAATTTCTAGCACCATTCCCTGATTTATTTTTCCAATGCAATCATGTTGATCAAATATATATTTTTTTTATCTTTATGTGATCTTTGTTTGTTTCCTTCACTGGAATTGAGTTCCTATGGGTGGAGATTTTCTTTATGTGACTGACTGCACATAGAGCAGTTCCTGGCATACAGTAGATACTCTGTGAACTTGGTATTATAGCTAACTTGTTACTGAAGCAAATCATTTAAAACAAAGCAGAAAATGTTGTCATGATGTACAGAAGTATATGCAATATATATGGAAGTGTGGTTTTGGAAAATATTTTGAAGAACTTGATATTTTAACATATAGCCTCCCAAAGATTTTTAGGTTTCTTTATTGAAAGAAGAGATCAAGACACAAACAGATAGAAAACCCATCTGCTATTTTATTCCTCAATGCCTATGACACATAGGGATGTGTTATGCAAAAATCAGGAGGCCAGAAATCCGACTAGTTCTCACGTATGGGTATCAGGAACCAAAGCAGTTAGCAAGCACCTGTGGTCTTCCAGGATGTGCATTAGAAGAAGCTGGATCAGATACAAAGTGGGGACTCAAACACATGCATTTTTATTGGATATTGACATCCAAATTGCTTCTTAATCACTGCACCAAATTTTTTTTTTTTTTAATTTCAGTTTTAGGGGACACCGCTGTGGCACAGCAGGTTAACGTCCTGGCCTGAAGTGCTGGCATCCCATATGAGCACTGGTTCAAGACTTGGCTGTTCCTCTTCCGATCCAGCTCTCTGCTATGGCCTGGGAAAGCAGTAGAAGATGGCCCAAGTCCTTGGACTCCTGTACCCGCGTGGGAGACCTGGAAGAAGCTCCTGGCTCCTGGCTTTGTATGGGCACAGCTCCGGCCATTGCAGCCAATTGGGGAGTGAACCAGCGGATGGAAGACCTCTCTCTCTCTGCCTCTCTTTCTCTCTGTGTAACTCTGACTTTCAAATAAATAAATAAATTAAAAAAAAATCAAAAATTTCCGTTTTAAGAGCATAATTGTACTTCCCACCCTTCGTCCTTCTTTTCTTATTTTTCTTTTAATTTTTACATTGACATACTTTCAATTCTCTTTATAGTCAGAGGCTTAATCCCCCACTCAATACAGAATTCAACAAGTAATAAGTAGAGAAACCATTATTTCTCAAGAGTACAGAGAAGTGCTATAAATAATAATTCTAAAAATTTCAACTTTGTTCAGATCCATTACAATTTTTGTACCCAGTATATTAGTTACCACAAATCAGGGAAAACACATATTTGTCTTTTGGAGACTGTCTTATTTCAGTAAGCAAAATGGTCTCTAGTTGCATACATTTTGATGTGAAAGACAGGATTTCATTCTTTTTTTATGGCTGAATAGTATTCCATAGTGTCTCTGTATGTATAATATAATAATATACACACATATTTATTTACCATCATTTTTTTATCTGGTCATCAGTTGATGGACATCTGGGTTGATTCCATATGTTAGTTATTGGAGTACAGATAATGCTTTCATATGCTGATTTCATTTACTTTCAGTAAATTCCAGGAGTGTTATACAACTGTTGTGGAAGACAACATGGAGATTTCTCATTAATCTTAGATACAACTATGATATGACCCAGCCATAAAAAGGGTTTTTATTCCTATAGTAACCATTGAATAAAAACAAAATCAAATGACAAATAATAAAGCAATAATTACATAAACCATTAATATAAAACTACAAACCTGTAAGGCATGTAACAATCTCAAAATACACAAATCAAAGCTTTTTTCATTGCTTGAAAAGCATCCATGTTCATAGTAGAACACTTTATTATCTGGGTAAAAAAGTATCCAGCTCAAGATAGAATTGATAGGGACCAGCATTGTGGTACAATGTATTAAATTGACAGCATCACATATAGGAGTGCCAGTTCAAGTCTCCGCTGCCCCATTTTAATACAACACCTGTCTCCTGCTTTCAGCCTGGACCAGCACCGGCTATTGCAGCCACGTGGGGAGTGAACCAGACCTCTTTGTCTCCCTATCTCTCCGTCTCTTTCTCTGTCACTCTGCTTTTCAAATAAATAAAACAAATGCCGTTTTTCAAAAAGAATTGGTAGTATACAAGGGATATCTGGGAAAACACATTAAAAGTTTAATTAAGTGGGTAAAAGAGTATAAGCAAATTGTTCACCCAACAAAGACAATTGTACTATTTATAATTACCTTTTTTACTCATGAAATGCGTGAAAGTCTCTTTTAATGACAAAAATACCATGTAACAATTCTGTACGGATATAACAAATAGAATAAATAATATTTCTATAAATCAGAAACTTTTTTCAAACCCTGCATCATTATACTTCCTCAATCACCTATCTATAGAATAGATTTTATGTAAATTCCACATAGGCTTACTGAAATCATAGGTAAAAAATGCTTTTCTACACTTTGAAGATATATTAAATTACATGATTAAATGTATGTCATCTATCATTGTTTTATTTTATGGATTACATCAGTACAATAAAAATAGAGACCCCATTCAAATAAGGCTTCTCTATTGCAGAGATTGGAGATGAGAAAAAATACATATTTAGTCTCCTTTCTTGAAATAAGGTTCTATCAATATATTCTGTGGATAAAATAACTTTTATATCACTTAAGATCAAGTATATTCTTCAACTTAAAGTTCATCTTAGAAAAATGCTAAATCTCAGTATTATTTCAGATTTGTTTCAAAGACTTACTAAGAACAACAGGTCACATTGACTTTATATTTCATAGATTCCTATTACATTTGGTAAGTAAAATTTGGCATAATGTTCCTTTGATCATATGAAGAAATGAAGGCTGAATTGTTTACTGTTTAATTATTTATCCTGTGGATTTATTTTAAATTTTTATCTTAAATTTTTTAATGTAAAGGCAAAGAGACAGAAACAAACTTTTTAACCATTGGTTCACTTCTAATCAGTTTCCTAATTTCTCACCAAACACCTGTTTCTGCCCTTGGCTTTAGACCTGCTACTGAGGCAACTCAATTAAATAAAAAGCATCCTTAATTCTGGAGCTTACTAGAAGATGTGAATTACTCCAAATACACCTTGAATATACATTGTTTATTTTGATGTGATTTTAGATTTTCTAAATTTACATGTCTTTCAGCTCTTCAAATATTATACAAAATAAGACATTCAGAATGAAGGATTTTAGAGAATTAGAATTATTAATGTTGCAATTTCAACAGAAAGTGCTAGGAAGTTATAAAAGTTAATCACAGGAGCACAGACCAGTCATTATTAGTAGGAGATACAGTTTCTGTGCAAGCAAGACTCCCATAAATCAGTGTGTAACATCACTTGTCTTTATTTTTGAAACTTCCCCCTTCCAAGCAGGTTCCCTGACACCACAAATGCTTGATCTGGGAGTCTTTGGGTAGGAAAGTCAAGTCAATAAAATTGATAATTTTCACCATACAATCTTTCAAACCGTAAGGAGAGGGAGATGATTTTGCTTTATTTTTGGTTCCATCTGTGTGAATACCCAATTTCCCTGCTCTGCTTTTCCCAGCAGAGATATCTCACAGCACCATCAGACTCTGCAAGGTTGGAAACTTCAATAGACTTACAAAAATGAGAGAAAGAAAACAATCCACAAGACAACAGACTTCTTTTATTGCTTTCTGCTTCCAGCTGCACAGATTCATGTTGAAAACTGTCATTCAAGAACTTTTGAAGTACAGTGCCTGCATGATTTCAAGACAAATTGTATATATAATTGATCAAATAAATATATGTATTATTTATTTATATGTAAAGAAATATTGGACTTAAGGATTTATTTTTTTAAAGATATATTTATTATTATTTTTATTTGAAAGTCAGAGTTATACAGAGAGAGATTGAGAGGCAGAGAGAAAGAGAGGTCTTCCATCCACTGTTTCACTCCCCGATTGGCCACACTGGCCAGAGCTTCGCAGATTGGAAGACAGGAGCCTGGAACTTTTTCCCGGTCTCCCACACAGGTGCAGGGGCCCAAGGACCTGTGCCATCTTCCACTGCTTTCCCAGGCTATAGCAGAGAGCTGGATGGGAAGAGGAGCAGCAGGGACTCGAACAGGCACCCATATGGGATGCCAGTACCGCAGGCAGAGGCTTAGTCCACTATGCCACAGCACCGACCCCAAGAATTTATTTTATCACAAGCATTTAATTTAGAAACCCTAACAAACACAGTAACAAGTACGTTAATTGTACTTTTGCTAAATCTTTAACAATCTGTAATAATATGCCTTACATTGATAAGCATAATTTGGCTATTCTTAAGGTTAACAGTTCAAAAATTATGTATTGAGGTAAATAACTGTTTTAATTTTTTTTTTTGGTATTCTTTCTTTTCTGTTCAGTTTTGAAGTGAACTAATAAACCTCGAGCCTAAGTCCCAGTGTTGGTAGTCGCTGAATTTGATCACGCAATAAATAAATAAATAAATAAATAAATAAATAAAAAGTTTCCTTTCATAGAGGGAACAATTATTTGCCAGCAACAGAAACGTGCTAAATGATTCCCCCCCAATTAAAATTTCTGCCAGAATATATAATACTTAACATGAGTTAATTTGGACATAGCGACACAAAATCTATCAGGGCAAAAGTTGTTCCTACTTCAGGCATTGCACCATAATAATGTTCATTATACTATAATAATGTTGGGTGTGAATAGCGCACTGTGATTTTGCCTCATTCATACTGTGCTACAAGGACGAAAATAAGATATATGTATGTGTGTTTATGTATATATACATACATGCATGCATATATATTTATATATATATATATAAACACACATATATTCATCAGCGTGTTAAATAGCTTCAGTTTTAACAAAGATGGCTCAAAAAGTAGAGTCCATTTTCACCAGATCCTAGGGGAGAGATGTCAAGGAAAATATAATAGAGAGAGAGAGCTAGATCTACTAAGAAGTGACAGCAGTGGGGTTTATAACTGAACATTGGATTTTACTGTCAGTGGTGTCACAAAATTTGTGCAATAACCCAGAGAGGAATATTTGGTGTAGGAAGAGATGAAGCCCAAGATTAGAGTTTTGGAGAAATCCCACATTTACAGACACATATAGAAATGAAAACTGAGAACAAATTATTAAAAACTTAGAAAAAAAAAACCAGAATGTGAGATTGGAAAATTCAAAGGAACAGAGAGCTTCCACTAGGTAATACAGTTCTAATGAATAAATAAATTTGGTGATTTAAAGTAGATTTGCATACTTTATATTTGGTAATTAGAAATAATATTTTGTAATTAGAAATAATATTTGGCACAACACTCACAATGTGGCAAGGTTACAGGTGAACAAAGAGAGTAAAGGGACTCTTGCCCAAAGATCATAATTTTCTTCAACTGTGACCAGCATATTTTGCTGAGATTGAAGAAGAAGCTGGAGAGGGAGGAAGATCTTTACACCGGTTGGGTTAGCCACTGAGGATCATGAGCAACAGACTTCTCAAAGACTGATCGGACTGGAATCATTGCACACGTTTGGAAACTACCTTGTCTCATATAAGGTTGCTTGTCTTTACACTTCTCTTTCCCATTGCTTCTTACATCTGTAACGCAGTTTCAGTTATTTCCAACTACTGAATCTCTCTTATAGCTGTTTAGCTGACTTCCTTCAAAGAACCTTTCTGATTCCATCTCAATGAGAATAGATATAAGCTTCTTTTGAACTATAATAACCAGAATTTCTATGTGGGTTTTGGCGTTGTGTTTACCCTCAGAAAATTGCAAGTAACAAAGTGGAAATAGAAATGGTTTCTTACTTTCCTGTGCAGTGGAAGTGACTAAGGCTTGTTTGAAGAAACCACAGCCTTATATCCCTTGGGGAAGAGAAAAAAAACACAAGGATGTAATTCTTGAATTTTAAAAAATCTGTCATTGCTCACGGATCACCACACACATCACCATTACTACAATACAGAAGCAAAAGAAATTAGCAAATGGTATATTCTCTAGTTCTAAAGGTAAAGAGGGAATATGTGAAATAAATGTAATTAGGAGGGGGAAAGAAATGAGAGTATTCAAAAGCACCAGGCACTTTCTCACCTAATTTTCAAAACTTTCCTACAGGTTCTGCTATTATATTCGTAACTAGAATTTTGAACTCAAAATTTAGGGACATGTTCTGAAAAACTGAAGTATGTATATATTATTTATATATTTACAAAATTTTATAGTACTTATACACATATTGCATAAAACTTAACACATTCAGAATAGATTGATACAAGCACAATTGTATAACTTCTATAGTTTATTTAATTACTAATTTTCCAGAATAGAATATTAATCCAATAACTACTCCTTTATGAATCATGAAAACTAGAGTGGAGTTGATGGAAAGAGAACCAAATGGCTTTTGGTTGGATGACTCAATATATATAAAAAGCCGAAGGCTTAAAACATTTATTTAGTACTACATTCAATGTTATAGAACAGGTGCAGGGGTCTCAGGAATAGAGATATGTAACACTGTTGATTAAGGTGCCTTTTTAATAGACACTGCTTCCTTTACCTTTTATAAAACCTTAAATAAAAGTCCCTAATATCAAGCTCTAGCATTGTTCAATATTATGGAAACTTAGACACGACAGGGCACTAAAGACAAATTTATTCTTCATAAGAAACACCTCCATGGCAGCAGAGGGGGATGCTGCATGGAGGCAAGGTGACTATTTGGAAAGAGGAGTGACCACTTGAGTCCCAGGAGACCACAGTGCAACAGCTGAGGCCCTTGGCCTCACTGACAGACATGTGTGGGCAACAGGTACTGAACAAAGGAATATGTGCTCCCTTTTCTAAATGCAATGTGATTCATAAAAAGAGAAAATGCAGAATTTAGTGTTTACAAGAACAGAAGAATGATAAAAGCAGGGCTGTAGTGGTTGCATTAAATTTTAGTGCTGTTGTAAAGTATTGCCACAAAGTTAGTGTCTTAAAACAACATATATTTATTATCCTAGAGTTCTTAGAGTCAGAAGTCTGCACAGGTCACAATGACTAAAATAAAGGACTTAGCATGGCTGTGTTCCTTTCTCTAGGCTCAAGGTAAGCCTCTTTACTCTTCTAGAGGCTGACTGCACTCCTTGATTCATGGACCACTTCTTCCTTCTCCAAAGCCAATACTACAGCAGTGCTCTGACTATATGACACTGTGATATGTCTTTCTAAGGACAGATCTGGGAAAGGCTCTCTGCCAGAATAAATTTTGATGGCAGTGGGCCCACTTGAAAAATCTAGAGCAATCTCCTATCTCAAGGTCCACATCTCACAGTTCATTTTGTCAAATAAGGTAACAGTCATGGGTTCCTGGCTTTAGGAAACGGACACTTTCTGGGACCATTACTTTGTCCAAATCATGTGATATAAAGTGGAGGGTTGGATGGAAAAGCCAACATTATAAATTGTAAAATCAAGGTTCAGATTTATTGATATTAACTTTTAAATGTCATATAATAAAATTTTTTTAATCAAAATACAGTCTGTGGCTGTTGCTGTGGTATAGTTGGTAAAGTTGCTGCCTACAGTGCCAGCATCCCACATGGGTTCAGATTTGAGTCCTGGCTGATCCACTTCAAATCCAGCTCTCTGCTATGGCCTGGGAAAGCTATGGAAAATGACCCAAGTCCTTGGGCCCCTGCACCCACGTGAGAGACCTGGAAGAAGCTTCTGGCTCCTGGCTTCGAATCAGTGCAGCTCCAGCAGATGAGGCCATCTGGGGAGTGAACCAGTGGATGGAAGACTTCTCTCTTTCTCTCCCTCAACCTCTGCTCTCTCTGTAACTCTGCCTTTCAAATAACTAAAATCTTTAAAAGAATGCTCATTGCACTACCATTTCCTGGTTTGCTCCCCAGGTGTCCACCAAGACCACTGGTTGGTGTCAAAGCCGGAACACCCAGAACTCACCAAGGTTTCCCATATGGGTGGCAGAAACTTGATAATTTCAGCTGTCTCTGCTGCCTCTCAGGTCCACCATGAGCTGTGAGTGCATTAACTGACATTTTAACTGATAGATTAATTTAAAATATAGTATAAAATGCTTAGGAATAAATTTAACCAAGGCAATAAAAAGTTACATTGAGCACTAGTACACATTGATGAAAGAAATCTAACTAGACACAAATAAATGGGAAGATACCCCATGTTCATAGATTGAAGATGTTAATATTATCAAAATATATGAGCTACTAAAGTGCTTGTCTGTCGCTCCCCATCTTCATGGAGGAACGACACAGGACCCTGCGCTGTTCTTTTGTCTGCTCGGCCCTCCCCGGGTTTGCTGCTGGTTCTTCCCGGGTTGGCTACCATCCCTTCCACCTCCGTGGAAGGGCGGTTCCCCCTGCCACATTCCCCACTTCCGCGGGGGAGCGGCACACCGCCGGCCGGCTCTCTCGGGGGCTGCACAGGTGTTCCTTCAGATGTTCCTGGTGCATGTTGTCTCTCTCCTCCTTTATAGTCCTCTTCCACCAGTCCCAACTCTGCTACCCACACGCCGAGTACGCTGCTCTCCTCCAATCAGGAGCAAGTCCTACAGTTTATTGGTTGAACTGGAGGCAGCTGTGTAGAAGCTGTTTCCCCTCTCAGCACCATATTGTGGGAAAGCAGATGCATAGAATAAGTCTTAATTCCAGTAACTTAGTCTAGTCCGAGTTGCTCCCCACAGTCTCCATCAGAATTCCAATTTCTTCCAAAAAATATAAAAAATTTAATTCATACAAAACCCACCAAAAAATGCCAAATAGCTATCTTGATTAAAAAGGTCAAAGCCAAGTTATACTTTAGATTGCACCATTACCAATGTTAAAAGAACACTTTGTCAGGGCCGGCGCTGTGTCAGTGCAGGTAAAGCCGCTGCCTGCAGTGCTGGTATCCCATATGGGTGCCAGTGTGAATCCCGGCTGCTCCATTTCTGAAATGGCTCTCTGCTATGGCCTGGGAAAGCAGTGGAAGATGGTCCAAGAATATTTAATGATGATATATATACAAAATGGAAATTATATTCAATCAAATTATAAAGGAAGCCCTATTATTTGTGATAGCACGAATAAATCGGGAGGAAGTTATTGTAAGGCCACCATTACACACACCAAACACTGGAGTTAAAGGAAAGATTAAATGTTGTTGGGTGGGGGAAGCCCAACAGGCCGGGGAGGAGAGGGTGAGAGAGAGTAAGTGAGAGAGGGATCAGGAGAGAGAGCCAATGTACTGGAAAGTCCTGTGTGGGGGTCAGGGAAGTAGGAGTAGGAGTAGCGAATCCTGTTAGCGTGGAGGTGGAGCTGACACCTGAAGTTGCATCATGGGGCTTAAGATCAAAGCCTATTGTGCAAGGTGGCCTCTGGGGTCAGAGCCTAAGATGGCGTCTGGGGCATTTATGGTGCCTCAGATAAGATGGCACCATTTTACTAACAGTTACACTAAATAAACAATGTAGGCACAGAAAGAAAAATTCTGCATGTTGTCATACATATGTGAAATCAAAGAAAAATAAATAAATATATAACAGAAGGGGACAGAAGAAAGAGATTAGGGTTGGAAATAGAGGGATGTTAGTCAAGTAGTACAAAATTTCACTCAGACAAGAGGAATAAACTCTGAAGATTATATGAGCATGGTGACTATAGTTAATAATTTGACATTATCTATTTGATAATTACTTTGGGACTAGATCTTGAATGTTCGCACTACAAAAACTGTAAGTATGTGTGGTGACAGGCCATGTAACTTGATTCAATCATTCAAAAATGCATACCTATATCAAAGTGTCACGTAATATCATATATATACACATAGTTTATTTGTAAATCAAAACTTAATAAAGGCAAAATTAAACACAGATGTATAAAATTAGCAAATATATTGGAGAGGTAAGTAAGAAACAGTAATTTGTTATTAGGAAGAGCTTGATATTTGAACACACATTATCAGGGTAAAGTAAAACAGAATTGAAATGCATCATTGCTCTCTGAGCTCCTAACATATTGAGACTCACTGTATTATACTAGCATGTTTTTCAGATTTCATTTTGGTAAATATTCTTTGTCACTTCCTATGAAAAACTTCCTATGAAAATAATAGTAGTTTATTTTATGCAGGAGAGAAGTTCCTTTTATGTTGCACCTGAATTGTGCTTGTGAAAAAGAATGATAAAATTTCCATAGGTATCCAGATCCTTTCTTTTCAATGAATTGTGTTATGAAAGTGGGCTTTTGAACCAAAGAGAATCAGATATGTCTATCATAGATATAATTCTATTCTTAAAGCCTTTTAACCATAAGTGGTTACAACTTTTTGAATAAATATTAGCATGCTGAGAATAAAGTATTTTCCCCAATGTTTATTTCTGCCCTAAATTATTCAAAAATAGAATTCATTCACTTTCGACAAAAGCAGAAGCCCATCACTGCTAGGAAGCTTCCCTTCTCAGGTCTCTACTTCTGAAGGCAGTCTCAGGGAGCACTAGCTGTTCTAACTTTCATGAAAGCTGGCTCCCACCAGAGGACACTTGCAACTTTCTTGAAAGGGTAAAGCATTTTTGACAACCTTCTTTCTCACTATACCTCATACCTTGGACTCAACTTTTTCATAAACTTGTGACACAGCCATCCCTGGCCATCTTGTTTATCCTCTGTAATGTATTCTTTTGGTTCCTCTTTGTTTTCAAAATCAAGCTCACTAAAAGTGTTGCGCATTTTCCACTATGCTTTTTTGTAGATACTTCTCTCTTTCTTGGTTTTCCTCTTAAAGTTGTATCTTCTTCCTTTCTGCATTATAAATGTTGCTGTTTCCAGATCTGTGTTGGTCTCTCCATTTCTCTGTGCTACTGGATGTGAATGCTACATCTCAGAGGGTAGTAATGTAGGATCTACGAAAGATGGTCCTGAATGCATGTTGAGTTCTGCCACTATATATGTGACCTTGAAATTTTGTGGGCAACCTGAGGAAACAACCCTTGTCCATCTGAGAGCTCATATGTTAGATGGGATAATAGAGTTCAGATTATTTGGAAGATAAATAGAATAAAACAGACTAATGTGTGTAAAATAATTAGCAAAGCACAGCACCCAGATAATAAATGCTAATTACCATCATAACTAGTCATTTTCTATGCCAAAATCTGACTTTCAACACACACGTTTGTCAGCTATAGTCTGATATCTCATAGAATCTTTAACCCAACAAGTTAAAAGACAAATTCATAATATTTCTCCATCTCTTGTTTCTGCAGCCACCCTTCCTTCTTCGCTGATATTGTCTGTTCCTTAAAGACTCTTCTTCCTGAGGTGTAAAAGTGAATGAGAAAATAATCAAGCTCAGTTTTCATTATCATTTTTTCTTTAATTCAATACATGTAAGCACAGCTGTGATAAGACATTTCATTTAACAGAATAATCTTGTTTCATTTCCACTTTAAGTTAAATAACTTAAGCAAAAGACATTAAAAACATATCAAGTCACTGAACTAACATGTCTTAAAATGCCCACATTAAAGTATACCAACCACAATCTTTATTGAAGAATGAATTTTCACATCTAAATGTTCAAACATTCTTTATGCTAAGCAAGTGTGTCAAATTGCTTCTGAAATATGGATCCTTCACTTATTTCTATATATTAGAAACAATTAGTGTTGCATTTTGAGGAAGAATACACTTATGTACAATTATCATTCTTTCTATAGATATTTATACATGCATGTGTGTGTGTGTGTAAGTGTGCATGTGTGCACTGAGAATACTCATGTGCATCTGATAATTACATCTACATCTTAAAATAAGAAGAGACCCAATTTTGGAGAGTAATTAGAAATGTCATTCACAATCTTGTCACTTGGTACACATAATTTAAACATAACAATGTCTCCATAATATATAACTTTTTACTGAAAAATTTGTTTGAAATTTCTAATTCTATTCTGTAAAATCCTTTTATTCTTAGTGAGAGATCAAATTAATTGCTGCTGGACTCATGATTGCCCACATACAGATGACTGTGTTCAGCAAATATTTTTTGATCCAGATTTGGATAAACTATAAACTAAAAATCCATGGCTATAGTTATATATATTCCATCCATAAGAGTATCTCATATACATATGATATCTATCATAGTATTGCATCCAGAGGTACCAGAAACAGAAAATTAGGCCAATTTCCCAGAAATTATAATTTTTTTGTGTATATCTGGTCTCCAAGATGCTTATGATGAGGGAAATTTGGATTAAAAAATTTAATATTTATGTAAGAAAGATTATCTGTATTCATTATGCATAACATGATATCTTGATATTTATTTGTACATATAGCAAGGAATATGGTATTCAGAGATGTTTATTTTGGAGCAATGAATTTGAAATTCATGTATATGATTTTACTTCATGAAGTTCATTCAATATGCATATGGGAAAATTTATGTGTGGATTTAAAATATTTTTACCCAAGTAAATATATCTTTCAATCCCATTTTTCATGGATATTTTAAGTATATTATTTTGTATGTTTGTGTTTATGCATATGTACAAATATATATATATATATACATATATATAGGCCCACACATGGCTAAATTATTATACTTATCATGTACACTACCTCCCATTCTTATTGAGTTTTGAGAAGTAGCAGCAACCTATCTAAGACAAATTATCTAATTTGTAAATGGGAAAAATAATTTCTGACTTCTAAATATTCATAGGATATTAATCATTTTCCTAAAATATAGGCCTCTATAAAGGTGTAAGTCCCAGGTAATCAACCAACTGTGGGCCTGTAGAAGTCAATTGAAGTTCTGCTGCCTTTCTCCATGGTCCCTTGTTATTATTTATTGATAAATGATATACCTGAATTTAATTTTTAAATACATTGGATGGAAGTTCTTCAGCCATACACAACCCACTGGTAAATACTGTGATCTGTGTCTGGGAATCCATATATTCCTAAGAAGTTGTATGAGAAATCACAACCATTAGTTTTTTATGTATTTTTATGAGAAATGAGCCATTCTAACTGAAGTGAGGTGAAACCACATTGTGGTTTGATTTGCATTTCCCTGATGGCTAGTGATCCTGAAAATTTTTTCAAGTGTCTGTTGGCCATTTGGATTTCCTCTCTTGAAAAATGTCTTTTCAAATCTGTTGCTCATTTCTTAACTAACTGTATTATTATTTGTTTTTTTGTTGTGAATTTATTGAACTCTTTATTGATTCTGGATATAAACTCTTTATCAGTTGTGAATTTTGGCCCTTGCAACATCTTTGGCTAAATGCTACACTGTGGGAAGAGGTATAGTTGACAAAGTCTCCATTAAAAAATGATATCTCTTAGAGTGGACATTTTGCCTAGCAGATTAGCCACCACAGGTGATATGTGTACCTCAAATTAGAGTGCCTTCTTTTGAGTCCCAGCTCTGCTTTTTATTCCATTTTTATGCTAATGCATATCCTGGGTGGAAGTAGATGATGGCACAATATTTGTGTCCTTGTCACCTATGTAGAAGATCTTCATTAAGTGCCTAGCTCCTGGATTAGGCTTGGTCCACCCCAGGCTATTGTAGTCATTAGGGAACAGAACCAGTGAACGGAAGATCTATGTCTTTCTCACACTCTATGTCGTTGTGCTTTCAAATAAATAGGACAAACAAGTAAAAAAATTAAAATTAAGCAGTATCTATTTTTTTAAAACATCTATCTATTATCTATCTATCTATCTATCTATCTATCTATTATTTATTTGAAGAGGGACAGAGAGGGAGAGACAGAGCAAAAGAAAGACTTTGCATCCACTTGTTCACTCCTCTATTGATGGCAACAACCAAAGTTACATGAGGTGTAAGCTGTCGCTCCCCCTCTTCATGGAGGAACGACACTAACCCTGCCTAGGCTTCATATCCGAGTCACGGCACCATTATGTCGTTCCCCGTCTTCGTGGAGGAACGACACAGGACCCTGCGCTGTTCTTTTCTCTGCTCGGCCCTCCTCGGGTTTGCTGCTGGTTCTTCCCGGGTTGGCTACCGTCCCTTCCACCTCCGTGGAAGGGCAGTTCCCCCTGCCACATTCCCCACTTCCGCGGGGGAGCGGCACACCGCCGGCCGGCTCTCTCGGGGGCTGCACAGGTGTTTCTCTTAGATGTTCCTGGTGCATGTTGTCTCTCTCCTCCTTTATAGTCCTCTTCCACCAATCCCAACTCTGCTACCCACACGCCGAGTACGCTGCTCTCCTCCAATCAGGAGCAGGTCCTACAGTTTATTGGTTGAACTGGAGGCAGCTGTGTAGAAGCTGTTTCCCTTCTCAGTGCCATATTGTGGGAAAGCAGATGCATAGAATAAGTCTTAATTCCAGTAACTTAGTCTAGTCCGAGTTGCTCCCCACAGTAAGCCAGGATCCAGGAACTTTTTCCAGGTATTCTACTTGGGTTGCAGGGTCTCAAATTCTTGGGCTATTTTCTGTTGCCTTCCCAGGCACATTACAAGGTACTTGGATCAGAAGTGGAGCAACTGGGTTTCAGGCTTGCAGTCTGATATGGGATGCCAATTTTGCAAGTAGCAGCTTAACCCCACTGTCTTTCTTGTTACACCCTAATTCATTTTCCTGATATTTTTATCTATAACTTTTATCACCATGTGATACATGATATGTTTATAATTTTAAAACATACATTGTCTGTATTGAGTTGTAATATATTCTTGAGAATTCTTTTGACTATTTATTTATTTATATTGGAGATAAAGAGAAACAAGGATAAAAATCTCCCATCCATTGGTTCACTCCTTAGATGATGGTAACATCTGTGGCTGTGCCAGATGATAATGAGGAGCTGAGAATTCAATCAGATCTTCCATATGAATGGCAGGGATCCAACTCCTTGAGCTATCATCTGCTACTTCCTAGGGAGCACATTAGCAAGAAGTTGGAACTGGGTGCTGAGATGGTACCCTTATGTACGTACTCTGACATTAGAAGTTTATGTTCCAAGCAGTGTCTTAACTGTTAGGCCAGACACATGACTCTTATTAAGAATATTGTTTTGATTTTTCATTACTTTTTAAATTTATTTA